CAGGCCCAACAGAATGGTAGTGCTTACTCCTAAACACTGAGCCACAGCGTCTTTGGATTTACTCGGCTTACTAGCAGCCAAGCCATAATAATGGAAAAAGGTCTTATTCCTGCTTTCGGATACTAATTCGCCAATAAATAGAAGTACGATCCATGGCCGGATGCAGCACTCCATTCCTGCATCTGTAGGCGCCTATTATATACCCAATATGTACAAAGCAAACATTTTTCCAACTTTTTTCCAATCTTAGATAAATTCTTGATTACCAAGTGGATAAACTATTTACATTTTTCTCCAACATTTTTCCCAAGGTTTGACTAAATGTTGAATAAAGTTTGAATTCAAATTGATTTCCAAGCTTTTCTCAAGTAAAGAACTCAGATTATTTTGCATACCAAAAATATGCCCTTTTGTTCTGCAATTGACGTACGCTTGATAATCAACATTGGACCCTGGAATTTGCATTGGATCTCTACTTGATCTCCAATTGTTTATGGGGTCCAATGTGTACTAACATTTATATGGTTCCCTCGATCTTAAAGAAAGGTATAGTAAACTGTTCTCAGTAGAACTTGTAATTGTGCGTACTTCTTCGAAAAAGCGGTTTGGCTTGCCTTCATTTTTGAATAGATAAATATTACTAGAATCTGTTTCCAGCTTTAGTGGGTCATGATTCAGTATTAAATACCCTCTAGAATGTCCAACCGGAATCTGAATAACCACCTCCAAAGCTTCCCGAAACAAGTTTGGTAATACTCCAAAGAAAATTAAACCCAATATTAGTCGTTCCGGGGCGTTGGAGAGTTTAGACAGCACACGATCTTTTGAGCTACATTGAAGTGCTATTTCTAGATAAGCAAAACTTAAGGCACTCCCAATACTTTTTCTCGAAATTTGGCATAAAACATTTTTTTTTACTACTTGCAGTTACGAGTGCGTTTGCGTGCCGGGTATTATGGGCAAGAATTGTGAGATCAATATCAATGAATGCGAAACGAATCCGTGTGGCAAGCATGGAACATGCAATGATGGAGTAAGTCACTACCGGCAATTTCGACGCAAAGACTTAAGTAATAATTTGAATATGTATTCACAGATTGGCACATATACTTGCGAATGCGATCCAGGTTTCGAGGGACGACACTGCGATGTGAATATCGACGAGTGTGACAGGTTAGTGGCATCCATTTTTAGCGTGCTCAGAGCCCACTGCACAAATACTCCCCACTACACTTAACTATAAAAAAAAATGTTCTATTAATACCTTTTCTTTTATCCTCAATAGATATCAACCTTGTGGCGCACACGGCACCTGCTTCGATGAGATCAACGACTACACTTGCGATTGTGATGCCAATTATGGCGGTAAAAACTGCTCTGTACCCCTGATAGGCTGCTCGAGTGCGCCTTGTCAGAATGGCGGTTACTGCAAACCGTATTTGGTTAATGAAACCGAACATCTTTTCAACTGTACCTGCCAACATGGTTTCCAGGGTGATATATGCGAGAAGACCACAACAATTTCAATGGTGGTGAGCAGTCTAATCACCGTGAAGACGCAACGCGAAGAAGGTTATGACATCAATTTGCAATTTAAGACCACACTACCCAATGGTGTGCTCGCTTTTGGCACCTCGATTGGTCATAATGAACCCGTTAGCTATATATTGGAGTTAATAAATGGTCGACTGAATTTACATTCTTCGTTGCTTAACAAATGGGAGGGCGTATTCATCGGTTCCAAGCTGAATGATAGCAACTGGCATAAAGTATTCGTCGCCATTAACACTTCGCATTTAGTGCTCTCTGCCAATGATGAGCAGGCCATATTCCCGGTGGGTTCATATGAGACCGCCAATGGCAGTCAACCGTCATTTCCACTCACCTATTTAGGTGGCACTATACCCAATTTGAAATCTTACTTGCGTCATTTGCCGCATCGCCCCTCGAGTTTCGTTGGCTGCATGCAGGATATAGTTGTGAATGGCAAATGGATTTTTCCCGAGGAACAAGGCACCGAAAAAGATACCAAGTTAACAAATATACAGGCCGGCTGTCCACGTAATGAGCAATGTGTACCAAATCCATGTCACTCGAATGGCGCTTGCACAGATTTGTGGCATACATTCTCGTGCACCTGCCAGCGTCCACATTTTGGACACACCTGCAAATACAGTAAGTTACCTGTTGAGGTGTGCGTAGTGGTAGCTTCTTTTAGCGACAACTTATTTGTCCTTTTATTTTTAAGATATAACTGCCGCCACATTTGGTCATGAGAACACCACACACTCGGCTGTAATTGTAGAGACAAATGAGGCTGCACGTCGTGCCATTCGCTCCATACTGGATATCTCTATGTTCATACGTACACGGGAGCCCACTGGACAGGTATTCTATTTGGGTAGTGATCCAAAGAAATCCGCTTCAAAAGGAACAAGTAAGTATTTCGAGAACGTTTCGAAAAAAT